GGAATTTTTTTTGCCGTTTTGAAAAACGGCGCCCCCCCCCCCAGGGCCCCCGTTTTTTTTTTGTGGGGGGGGGCAAAAAACCTTTTTTTGAACCTTTTTGGAACTTTTTTTTCAAAGGGGGTTTTTTTTTTTTTGGAAGAGGCCCCAAAACCGGTTTTTTTCCAAATTTGGAGGCCTTTTTGGGAAAGATTTGGGAGCGTTTTTTTTTTTCCCCCCCCCCCCCCCCTCCCCTTTTACCCCCCCCCCCCCCCTTTTCACTCCGCCCCTTTCACCCCGCCCTTTCCTCTGCAGGCAACGGCTCGACGCTCTGCATCCTTGGAGACGGCTCGCAGCCCGACCGACGCGTTGGCGGCAACTGGTCGGCGGGCGCCGACGGCGTCTCCTCCTCCATCGAGGCGTACGCCAAGGATCTGGACAAAGCTCGAGAGACTGGCATGCAGACCAAGGTCGAGGTGGCGCGCCTCACCAACGACGACATCTGGAGGAGCAGACCGGTGAGGGAGAGGCGCGGCTTCTTCTCTTCATTAACTGCTAATTAACTCTTCCATCAACTGTTAATTAGGCGAGGGAGATGCGCGGCTTCTTCTATTAATTAACTGCTAATTAACTATTCCATCAACTGTCAATTAGGCGAGGGAGATGCGCGGCTTCTTCTCGCAGATCGACAGCGAGGAGCACGCACCCCGCCGGCAGCGGCTGGGCGGCGGCGCCGGCGAGCTGATGCGGCAGGCGGTCGCCGGCGGGGCGGCGGTGAGTCAAGTAGCCGTTTCATCATTGACTCGTTGAGCTGAGGCGGCAGGCGGTCGGGGCGGGGCGGCGGGGCGGCGGCAGCGCAGGGCCAGCCTCGTCGTTGCTCCCTCCTGCTGCTCCCGCCGTGGCATCCGAGCCGGCCGTCACTGCGCGACGGCACCAGATGGCCGTGGAGGCGCCGGGAAGTGTCTGGGAAGTGTCTGAGAAGCGTCTAGGAAGTGTCTAGGAACCAGATGGCCGTGGAGGCGCCGGCTCCGCCGACGCTGCCTCCCTCGACGCTGCCCCCGCCCCCGTGTCCGTCGTACGTCCGGTTGCGCGGGCTGCCGTTGCCGC